CCCCCAAAACCTGGGATGATGCTCCAGCAGGGAATGTGGGGGCATTTCCCTTCCCCAGTTCCACTTGTGGGTGCTGGAAGGTGCCTGGGCATGGAGGGGGTTCTGTTCCCAGAAGGACCGTTTTGGGGAAGGTCAGCTTTTATTTGCAGCATTAAATAGCACAGAGAGGAGACAATAAATAGCTTTTTTGGGGAATAAATAACCAGCGAGTGCCCGGGCAGCGCTCGCAAGGTCCGGCCTGGGGGTCTCGAGCACTGTGGGGCAATGCTGGACCTGGAGTCACAGCTGCGGCCAGGGGAGTCAGCAATAAATACGGGGTAAAAAAAGCCCCCTGGCTGCAAGGCTTATAAATAACTCATAAATAATGAGGTGAGGGGCTGGGAGGATGCCCTGGCTGTGGATGGGTGCTCTAAAACAAGCACGGGTGAGGGGGATGCGGTGACACGGTCACACTACGGGGGCTCCACGGGAGCAGGGGAGGGTCAGCGCCTGGTGCGGGGCAGGACACAGGTGCAGCCCACGGGCACCTTGATATAATCCACCTCGAAGGTGACGAGGCCCAGCCCGGCGGGGCGTGGGCAGGGCTTGCGCCGCAGCACCATCATGGTCTGGTGGATGGTCACTGAGTTGAGCGACGTCGTCTCCCGGCCTGTCTTGACATCTACACAGCCACTGCACAGGCACTCGGCGAAGGCCAACTTGCGCGGGTACCGGTTCTCGTCCTCGTCGATGCTGTGGGGACGCGCTCGGTGAGACCCTTCCCTGTGTCCCCTGGGTCACCCCGGCTGGGATCAGCCAACGGGGGTGCACCGGAAAGGGCGGACATGGGGGTTGGGGTCCGGTGGGGTGTCGTGCACTCACCGGTAGCGCCACGGGGAGATGGAGCGCTCGTTGGGTTCGCTGCGGAGGCTGGTGCGGGTCTGCAGCGCGGGGCAGCCGTGCGGGCGGTGCCGCCGGTGCCGCCGGTGCCTGGTGCTCTCCAGCTGCTCCAGCTGTGGCACCAGCTGCACGGGCACATAGCGGTCCCAGCGCAGGCTGCGCCCCAGGAGCTGCGTGGGGGCCTCGTCCCCCAGCTCGGCGCCGCTGTAGCACAGCACGGGGTGGGAGTGCGGGGGACCCCCGGGGCGCCGCAGCCCCCGGCACAGCACCAGCACGCCCAGCAGTGCCAGGGCACCCAGCCAGCCCTGCGGGAGACAGCAAGTCAGGAGACACAGCGATAACCCCACACACGCACCCAGAGGGCTCAGGGGTGAGCTGGCACCACCCCCAGACATGGGGGGGTTCGACACACAGAGCTCCAGCACAGCCTCCCCAAAATGCGAGCCTGCACCCACGTGCACCAGCACCCAGAGTGTGGGCACGTGTGTGTGTGTATCTATATATATCTGCATTTCTGTATATCTGTATATCTATCTCTATCTATTTCTCTATCTCTGTATTTCAATATCTGTATCTATCTATATATTTCTATATCTACATATCTGTGTAGCTACGTATCTCTCTATATATCCCCACCCCTAAAAAAATAGTGCACATATGTGATACATGCATGTATACACACAATGTCAACACCACCCCCCATACATACACAGTGACTACCTGTACATATATAGACACACAGGGAATATTTGTATAAAAATATATATATATATGTACACACAGAGGGCTAGAACAGATGTATACACCCCTCCACCCCTAAAACAGTGGCATATGTGTGTGCAAGACAGATGTACCCACACACACGCACAAAATCAACATGTATCCACAACTATACATACACAGCAACTACCTATATATACACATATATACATCTATATACACGCAGGATACAGAATATACACACACACACACATACACAGAGGGCCAGCACTCACCTATACATACCCCCAACCCTAAAGCTGTAGCACATATGTGATACAGGCATGTACATACACACACACACACACACACACACATAAATACACAACAACCGCCTGTATATATACACATATATACACGCACAGAGAATACCTGTGTGTATATATATGTACACACACATATATATACGTACATATACATACATACACACACACATATACACATACACATACATACATACACACACACACAGAGGGATATATATGTACACCCACAGAACCAGCACACACATATAGCACAGCCCCACCCTTACAGGAGTGTGTGCAAGCATGCATGTGCACCCAAACATGTTTACAGCTAATCGCATGCAGAAACTACCTGCACA